TAATAGTCACTAACGACGAATGTTTTTTGAACACTTGAAATGTAGCTAATTCAAATTAAAATGCACCGTAAGTGTAAATTACATATGGGATTTTGAAAACTTAGTAAGAGAAAAAGAGATTGTAAAGTACCTTGTTAATTTTTTATATTGATTACCTGTTAAATGATAACATTTTGGGTATATTGAGTTAAATAAAACGTATTTTTAAAATTAATTCCACCTGTTCTTTTTTTATTACTTTTTTCTAGTGTGGCTACTAGGAAATTTTAAATTATATATGTGGCTCATATTATATATCTATTGGACAGAGCTGCCCTAGACCATGACCCTCAACAAGAAGGTGCTTTCTAACTCTGCCCACAGCCAGTCTATAGAGAACACATGGGCCATTAGGCACACCTATCCCATTATCATGTGTTAAGCCCCAGGAGAGGATGCCTTCACCTCAGAGTAGAAGAAAAGAAATCCAAGGAGGGGGGGACTTCCCTGGTGGCACAGTGGATAAGACTCTGCCCTCCCAATGCAGGGGGCCTGGGTTCGATCCCTGGTCAGGGAACTAGATCCCACTTGCATGCTGCAACTAAGGAGCCAGCAAGCCTCAACTAAGGAGCCTTGGAGTTGCAACTGAGGAGCCCGCCTGCCACAACTAAGGCCCAGCACAACAAAAAAAAAGGTAAATAAATAAATAAATATTAAAAAAAAAAAAGAAGAAGAAACCCAAGGAGGGGAAAGCATGGGTTAGGGGAAGAGTAAAAGTGACATTATCTAGTTTCCCAAGCATCTCCAAGGAGCGTTTTGGATCTAAGTCCTGCATTAGGAGGACATCATGAGATGAGGACATTCTTACAACTTCAGAGCATCTTCATGAATTTAAATAAAATTGTGGGCCCATCTTACTGATTGCTTTAGGTCTAGGTGACCTTCCCCTCAGAATAGATTACTGGGTGGTCCTGATGAAGAAATACTGAGGACCTAAGTGAATCCCATGAGGCAAGATCTGAGCGGGACTCCTGCGAAGCATCTCGCAATGCTGGGGAGCTGGATATCCACCTTGGGCTCTCTTTTCCTACTGGAGAAACCACAGGCTCAGGGAGACCCTCTCAGTGTGGCACAGTGGCAGCCTAGGGGAGGGATGATGCAAAGTGAAACTGCTCCTTTACCCTTCTAATGTAGTCCCTCTCAGTCTCTGTGGTCCAGGGGTTCTTTTTCAGCCTCACCTCCAGGTTCTGGAATTTTCACAATGATGTTCTTATTTATGGATAATTGCTAGTTGTTTTTCTTATGAGGACTGAAGTCTGGAATGACCTATGTCGCCATCTTGATGGCAGTACCTCAATTCATCTGTGTTTTAATAAGGAGGGCATGAGCTATAAATGTCACCTGTGTAAACAAGTTGATTGGTCATCCAACCGATCAGAATCACTCAAGGGTAATATGTTGTAGTGGTACCTCTGTTATAGACCTTAGTCCTCATCTTTTCAGATCCATAAACTTGATTTTATAAATGCAGTGAGAATTGATTCATTACTGATAAATGGGCTTATCTAACTAAACTTACACAGGACAGGTAAATTACCACTTTATTAAGTTAAAACAGGAAAATTGGTTAGGGTTATTTTGGTTAGAAATACAAAAACCAATGAGATAGGGACTTCCCTCATGGTCCAGTGGTCCCAAGACCAGGAATGCAGTTGGATTCCAGGAAAAGATGAGAACCAGAAATTGAAAATGTTGTTCGGGTTCTATGTCTCTCATCTATGTTCCTCTCTGTGCATCTCGTTCATTCATTTCATGTATCTCTGTGGAAGGGCTTCCCCTCATTCTCTGATCTATGTGGAAAATGACCACCCACAGCTCCTGGGTTAATTTGTTACAAGTCTAGCTACTTGGAGAAACTAACCTGATTTCAATCAGTGTTCCTGTCTCCTGGGAAGGGTTGATTGATCTAGCTTGGACATAAGCCCACTCTTGTATCAATCAACTGTAGCCAGAATGGCATGCTCATATTGTTGAAAAATACTCCTTAGTATTTACCCAAAAGAGTTTAAAACTTATGTCCACACAAAAATCTGCACACAGATGTTTATAGCAGCTTTATTTATGATTGTCAAAACTTGGAAGCACCAAGATGTCGTTCACTAGATAAATAGATACAAAAAAAAAAGTGGTACATCCAGACAATGGAATGTTAGTGCTAAAAAGAAATGTGGGCTTCCCTGGTGGCACAGTGGTTAAGGATCCGCCTGCCAATGCAGGGAACACAGGTTTGAGCCCTGGTCCAGGAAAATCCCACATGCTACGGAGCAAGTAAGTCCGTGCACCACAACTACTGAGCCTGCGAGCCACAACTACTGAGCCTGTGTGCCCCGACTACTGAAGCCTGTGTGCCTAGAGCCACCACAATGAGAAGCCCGCACACTGAAAATAGAGAAAGCCCACGTGCAGCAACGAAGACCCAATGCAGACAAAAATAAAAATAAATAAATAAATAAAAAATTGAAAAAAAATTTTAAAAGTAGATTGTAAAATAATATAAAAAAATTTTTTAATAAATAAATAAAAGAAATGAGCTATCAAGTCATGAAAAGACATGGAGGAAACTTAAATACATATTACTAAGTGAAAGAAACCAATCTGAGAAGGTTATATACTGTACAATTCCAATAATATGACTTTCTGGAAAAGGTAAAACTATGGAGACAATAAAAGGATCAGTGGTTGCTAGGGGTTAGAGGGGCATGAGGGATGAATAGGCAGAGCACATAGGATTTTAGGTAGTAAAAGTATTCTGTATGATACTCTAATGGTGAATACACATTTATAAATTTATCCAGACCCATAGAACAACACCAAGAGTGAACCCTAATGTAAACTATGGAATCTGAGAGAGAATGACATTTCAGTGTAGGTTCAAATATACTACTCTATTGGGAATGTTGAGAATGGGGCAAGTTATGCATATGTGAGAGCAGGAGGTGTATGGGAAATCTTTGTACCTTCCACTGTGTTTTGTTGTGAACCTAAAATTGTTCTTAAAAAAAATAATAAAGTCTTAAGATACACAACAAATAATGTTGGCAAGGAATTCTCCAGGAGCATCTTGCATAATTTTTAGAAAAAAACATATGTGGGGGTGAGGGGGTGGGTCAGAAGACCATCAAAAATAAATATCCAAAATAAAATATAATTTATAGTAAAAATAAAGTGAGTGAGCCAAGTCTCACATTTCCTGATTAGCATGGAATATTAGATATCTAGGAGCTTTAGAGGAAGCCAAATGATCATCAGAATTTTTTTTGGTGAGCTTTGAAGGAATGCAATTGATTTTTTAAAATACTATTTATATCTGTTTTAGTCCAGCTAAACTAATTGCTGTAAAAACCTCCTCAACACTTCAGTGACTTAACACGAATAAGCTTTATTTCTTATTCACGACACAGTCAGCAGAGTATGAGTCATTCAGAGATCCACACTGTCATTCAGAGATCCAGGCTCCTTCCATCTTCTGGGTCTGCCCTCCCCTAGGTCTTTGGGGTCTTCTCTAACAAGCCAGCAGGTAAGGAGAGAAAGAGCATTGAGAAGGCACACTATTGTTAACTGCCTTGATATGAAAGTGTCATAAATTATTTCCACTGTGAGAATGGGACATATGGTCCCACCTAGATCAAAGGGACACCTGGTAGCCCTAGTTACTTGAGAAGCCTGGGACCATCAGGCAGCAAGTCCAAATGGAGATTGATTGTGGCCAATTTGCAGCTGCAGCCTCAGGGTAAACTCCCAGTGGCGGGTCCCCTCCCCACTGGAGATTATGTAGGTGCTTAGTGTTAGGCTCTAGCTCCACAGACCTGGAGGCCCATTGCTGCCCAGGACTCTTGTAAGAAGGTGTAGTGAGCAAGTGCATGCTGAGCACTTCGTGAGTAGCTAGGGATCTGGAACTGGGCAAGGGTCAGGAGATGCTGCTTACAGGACAGGTACTTGGAGGATAAGGTGTATGCCAACTGGCAACTCCTAAAATACCCAATGGGTAAAATTCTCATTGAATGAAGAGCTCCAGTTTACTGCACTTCTTTGCTAGGGTTGGGGCAGGAGTCTGGTTGGGGTATCTTCTATAAGACAAACTTGGGATAGACTAGTGGCATGTCCAGGAAGAAGAAACAAACATGAATATTTGTGAGCACTGTCAGTCATTGTCACTATGCTAACTTCTTCAGGCTCTGATGTACTATTTCATCCATGTCCACTTTGGAAATCAAGATAAACAGCCATATTCTTGGGTCAGGGAACAACGTTCTCCTGGACAGTGCTAATAGGCTAGTGTCAACTTTGACTTTCAGCTTCTCAGTTTCCTCTATTTAAGTGACACATTCTTATTAGATGTCCAATGCTACTTATTAGGCTACTGTCATGTCTTGCTTTCTGCGTTGGATCACCCGGCCTCCTCTAAGAGGTATTATGTTTATCTAATTTGTTCTCAGGGGTCTTGTTAAGTAGGAATTTTACAAAAGAAATTTTAGTGTAGAAATTAAGGGGAAATCAAAGTTCCTTTTGTGAAATGCCAACCCTGTTCTACTCTACTTAGGATAAAAGAGCTAGCTTTTCAATGACTCAATCAAGGCAGTTCAGCAGGCCTCTAGATTCTAGATATAATACTGTGTAGTTTAGGGAACATGATACTAGTCTGTAGGGAAAATCAGGAGGACCTGAGATAACTGATCAGTTAAAGGCAAAATCTCTTTGAGTAGACAGGATAGATCTCAAAATGTCTGTTAAGGAATTTTCTTCTCTTCTATGAAGCTAGGTTTCTTTACATATTTTCCCATTATAGGAAATAGACAGGGAGAAAGTTCTCCATCCAGAGGAGAAATCTATATTACACATAAGGCTGCATCTGCTGGCAGATTGCATCTTCTACCTAATCCTGCCTAAAAGGTCATCCCTGTAAAGCTGAGACACCTGCTTCCTCTTGGGTAGAAAGAGTATATCACAGAGAGAGGCAACTGTTGAGACTGTGAGAACTACTTTATTAGAAAGCATAAAGGTAGGCATATTACAGGTACTCGACTTGGCCTCAGAATCTAAAGTTGTCAGTTTTTAGAATTAAGTCATGATTCTCTCCTTAGTATCATTCTATCTTGCCTCAGACTTGCAGATCCTAAAGTCCGAGTTGACAGAATTAAAATTATATCATCTGGTTGGCATGAGGCATGACTCTGGACCTCCCTAAACTCTGTCTGCATCTCTTCCTTTCCCTTCTCCTAGTGGCAGCTCCATAGCCAAAACATTTTTCCTTGGAATAGTGAATTTATGAGATTCTTCTTGTTCAATGTACACCATGTTGGCAAGATGTACATGGATGGTCAACAAAGATATTTTATTATGGGCATTCAGGGAGTGTGATATTTTTTTCCAAGTGTCGTGAAAAGGTCTAGGATTACAGGATACTGCACTGCTCTTGAAAGAATGGTCTACTCTCATCAAAGAATAGGAGAATATTCAGATGTTAATTGTTGTGATCACCTGAAGGTTAAGAAAAAGCGTTCAAAAAGACTCTAAGCTTTCCCCCAACTTTCATGTAATTGTTAACCCATATTCCCCTTCAAATGTTCTTTTGTTGTCTCATTCCTTTCATGTTCTTTACAGACATAGATCTTTTCTTGAAAAGAGCCTGTAGTGGTCAAAGTAACAAGCCTGGGGATGCTAGGCTGGTTGAGAAGAAGCAGGAGAGGCCAGAACAAATGCCAAAGGGTCAGCAGTGAGGAGAGGGCGACTGGGAGCTCATCTTCCCCAGCAAGAGAGAAGTCAACAACTCATATCTCCAGGCAATGATAGGGGTGCTTGGCTCTGAGAGCAAAGTATAAGCAGAGTGTTCAGATTCCTGCTGAGGAGCTGAGGGAGTGGTAGCTAAGCCTGCAGGCTCAGTGCTCATGCCAGGCCATTCTGGCCCAGGAGAAAGCAAAAGACCCTCAGGGCCTGCAGGGATCAGGTCAAGCATCAAGAAGGCCAGGCTACAGTTCTGTAAAGAGAAGAAGAACGTACAGTAAGGATGGGGACACGCCAAGAGGGGATTATTTCATTCAGACCCAAAGAGGCCAAGAAAGAAGACTGGGTTCCAGAATAAGAAACAGAGACCCTCCCAGACCTAATCACACACATATCTCACACTGATGTGGACCATGTCAGAATCTGGTACAGTGTCCCAGGCACTTAATTCAACCAGCTCCCCTATGAGTCACAAAGAGTATTCACACATATTAACACTTCTCACCTTCACACAGTCACAAAACTCTTCAAGAAGAATGGGACAAGTGTCTCCCTTTTTAACAGTGAAAATACTGAGGTCTTGAGTAGTTAAGTGACTATCTAAGATTAACTAGCCTCAGAATGGCAGCAGCAAGGCTCAAACCCTAGTCTTCTGTCACTAAAACCCTCCTTTTCTGGGCACTAGCTGCTCTTCATATCTTTGGTCCACTATCAGCTCTTACCCAGTTCCATAGCTGAGCATTTAACCAGGCAGCCCTGCATGCCAGTTTCCCACCCTGATTAAAAAGCTGGGCTTCAGAACTGTGACTCTCTTGAGTCAGTCACCCAAAGGCTATGCTTGCATTTCCGGACTCACGTCGGGACAGGATTTCTTCCTTCACTCCCCCATAGAGGTCTACAGTTCAGGAATAGTACCCTGGCTTCTCTAGAAAGACACTCATGGGAATTCCCAAAGAGCCCCCTACCCCAGCCCCATTCCCACAGCTTAACTTAATATCTGGGGAGTGACAATAGGTAGAATGAGATGGGACAATTTTCTATAGTTTAGAGTTTCATCTTAGTTCTGCCCTATCATTTGAAAACAATTTTTATGATTTTGGAAAGTTACTTATTGGCTGACTCTTACTTTCTTCATGTTTAATATAAAGGTGTTAATTCAATAATTTTCAAAATGCTTTTTGTTCTCATATTCAATAACTGTATGGTATGGGATTTACTATTATTATTATCAGTCTATTCACTACTAGAATGTCTCAATTAAATTCCTTGAAGAACACATAAAGTAGGTGACAATTATGGGCAGCTGTATGGCACTGGTAGAATAACTCTTATCCTCAGAGTTCACCCCCACCACCCTCTTCTTCACCTCCCTCAATGTCAGTCCCCTTGGGTTCCATCTACAGGACTTACCTAAGCAGGTCACGGCCACATCTTCCTTGTGGTTGCAGTTGTGATGCCCCCAGAACCTGTGCCGACACTGCTCCAGGGACTGCTCCTTCCCTGAGCAATGAACATCATCTAGCCAGATGCGGCCAGCTCCAAGGCCAAAGTTTCTCCGGGCTTTGGCAGATAGAAAGATTGACTCCCCACAGCCCAGTTGCTTGCACACCACCTTTTCCTCCTTTTCTCCCCAGCCATCATCACAGACAGAACCCCATTCGCCCTTGTGCAGCACCTCCAGTCTCCCAGAGCAGCGGGTGTCTCCTCCTACCAGCCTCAAGTCAAAGGGATCTGCAGGGTCAGGGGATGGAGAGAGACATGGAAAGAAGAAGAAATAACATCATCTACATCCTCATTCAAATCCCATCAGCACTTTTGAAACTCTTTACCTGTGTTTCTGTGATTATATGATTAGTTTCTGTGATTATAACCCTTGCTCTAGGTTCCAATTCATGTGGCCCAGGACCGTTTCCTTAACTAAGATCTTTTCACTTTCCCATTTATTTTATAAAAGTCTAATATTTATGAATGACTTTCTAGCCGTTTTTTAAAATTGGAGACTTCAACAAGTACATGGAATGGTGTGTCCTTTCCTATTATATAGAATTCAATATAATAATAGTTCATATTAATTCATTGCTTAATATCATTTAAAGCATTTTCATATACAAAGGTAAGTATCATTACCTCCATTTTAAAAACAAGACAATTGATGAGCAGCACACTTAAATAACGTTGTCATGGTTATGTGATGCATGAGTAGTTCTCTGTAAACATTGGTTGAATAGAATTCCATTTAATCAAATTCATGAATGAACCTAGTCGCTGGACTTATAGGCATTACCTTCGCATTCGACCCACGTGTCCTCATCATGGGTGCAGTTATTCTTCCCCCAGAGCCCAGAAGGGCAATCCTGAAGGCTTCCTTCTTGTCCTGAGCATGACACCTTACTCAGCCAGATGGGCCCTTGGCCCTGTGTATCCTTGTTGCAGCATCTTTGGGTCAGTGTGGCCCTCCCACACCCCAGCTGCCAGCACACCACCTTCGCGGCTGAGAGATTCCAGCCTGCTTTGCACACGGTGCCCCATTGCTCTCGGTGCTTCACCTCCACTCGCCCTTTGCAGCGACCAGGGCCACCAACCAGCCGCACAGTCTCTGGAACTATGGGAAAAGAAACATGAAGCGTCTGCTCTTTGTAAGAACACATCCTTCCCAGAAAAGGGGGCTCCTAACACTGAATTTTTCTAAGAAATAAGAATGAGACCTCAGCATCAGGGCGCAAGCATTTAGTGATTGTTTCTCTGATAACAAACTGTGGGGTAACAAAGAGAAGACATGAACTAGTCCCTTAGCCAAATCACAGTCTAATGGAGGAGGAGATAGACACAGAGAGAGAAATTATTAATACATAGAAAGCAAATATATGAACGGAGCAAAGGAATACAACAACAACAACAATTATATATATATATTCACATATATATGTATGTATGTGTATATATAGATAGATAGATAGATATACACACAGTTGTTGTGTGTTGGTTTCCTATGAGTGTCTCCTGTCTACCTAGCTAGATGGTGGACTCCTTGAGAACTGAAAAAGCATGCATTATACTTTGGGAGCTCATTTCTTCCCCATAACTCCACCTGAGCTCTAGATGCAAATGTTTAGTGGTTGTTGGATTTGTGCATGTTTGTGTGTGTGAAGAAGAGAAACAGGTTCTCATATAGATTGAAACTAAGAGAAAATCATTAGCTCAACCAAGGATGAGTAGCAATTCTACCTGAGGATAATGTTTGTCTCCAGTGTCCACAATTGAGGAAGTGTAAGATGTGAAGGACAAGGAGCCAATTAGCCATTAGTTCATGGTGGAGAATAAGGACAAAGAGTGGTCATGTGGGGTGTGGGCAGCTGACAGATAGTCCTTGAGCCCTGCCATACTCACTTTCACACATAGCCCCTGCATCCTCATTGTGGGAGCAATCAAAAACATCTTCCTCTTGCTCACAATGAATCAGTTTACTTTCCATCCCACTGCAGCTGACCGCTTGGATGAGGACTTTTTGGTCTTTTTCTGCCAATGGCTTATATAAAGTACCACTGGGTGTCCCTGTGGCTGCTCCACAGCCCAGCTCCCGGCACACCACTTCCACATCTTTCATGCCCCAGCCGTCATCACACACGGTGCCCCACTGGCCGTCCCGTTCCACTTCCACCCGCCCTTCACAGCGATGGCGACCTCCCACCAGTCGCGTTCTGGATGAAGACCCTGCAAAGAAATGAGATATTGGCTGGAGATCTGGGAGGAGCTCAGAGAGTAGTCAGGCATGTATGCAGTCTTCTTAGAACTCTTCCACCACTTCCAGTGCATGGAAAATTGAGGGATGAGAAAGGAGGGGCCAAAAGGGAAGAGGAGGAAGAGGAGCTTCAGGACTCCATCTCTGAGTTCTAGCCTTGCTACACTCTTAATTGTACCCTACCAAGAAACTCCACTTCAAGACACCTAGATATGACTGCTAGTTTTTGAAAACCAGCAGTCATATCTAGGTGTTTGAAGATTAAGAGAAAGAGGTTGGTTGAACATCCAGCAGAGTTTTTAGAATCTTTGGTGGTCAGGATAAGAAGGACCTATAGAGATCATCAAGTCTACCCCACCATTTCACTGATGAAGAAAATGATCCTCATGAAATTCAAGGTCATATGGTCACACTGTCAAATAGTGGAAAACCCAGGTCAGAACAGGAGTGTAGAGATGATATCTGTTTTTGTCCTTTCTTCCTCATGACTCTGTCTCCCCCCATGGCAGCTAGATTGAGGCAAGGTGTCTGGATATAATTTGGGCTGAACAACCTAACTCTCTCTCCCAGTATCAATGATCCACTACCACTCATCCTTGCTACTTCTATGACATTTTCCCATGTCCAAGAACCCAGCTCAGAAGAAATACAGAGAATACTGGGCAAAGGAAGAATCAGAGCCTCAGAGTCTCAGAGCCCCAAAACTGAGTCTAGAGGATTCTACGGGTTGGGAGTAGGAGATATGCTTCACAGAGCTTCCAGATAATTTCTGAGGAATCCAGGATGTGTTTCTGCTTCTTGACTACAACTGTGAGGTAGAAAAGACTAATAGAAATTCTTTCCCTTCTACTAAGACTTAGACATGGAGTAGAGATGGTTGTGTAGGGAGCCCAGGGAAGAGCCCATCAGAAAATAAACTTCTGGATACTACATTCCAGGTATTGTTTTATGAACTCAGAGAATAGTGATGACAAGATAGTTAGCATTGTTGCCCTCAAAGAGATTATATTTAATAGGCTTGAGGCAATCCCGCCAAGTCCTCTCAGCCCCAGAGTGATAGAGTGAGAAAGAAAACCTAAATTTGCCATACATCCATGGAGAGGTCTGTTGAACCTGGAGGGGCCACATTCAGACTGGTGGTCTGTGATCTATTAGAATATGAACAGTATAACATGTGACAACATGGGTCACATGGAATGACCCAGATCCCTGCAAAAATGGAATACAATTTCTCAGGACAAGATTTTCCACTGCCTACCTTGCCTCAACTCTGCATAAACTCCCTAGAACTTGGCATCAACCCCAGAAGAAGCTGTTGGGTGAAAAAAGTCTGACCTGATTTTAAATCACACTGGGAAGTTTATGTTTGGTTTGTTCATTTGTTTTTGTTCTTCTCCTTTTCTTCCATAATTTCTTGAGGGAAGCAATATGAAGAATGGAGGTTAGAGATAGAAATTAAAATAAAACTATAAAAAATAAGAAAAGTCTCCATTTTTGCACACCAAAGTTTAAGGCATGTATATCTGAGTACAAATATAATTCAAGAAGAGTCATCTAGAAATAACTTTTGGGTCATTGTAACTAAGATTAGAGCTTGGATAGGCATTATTGTGTACTCCAGCAAATATTAGTTATCAGAATCATGCATATGTTATTCCATTTTATTTTGAATGATAAAACTCTGGTTTTAAATAAATGTTCATTTTCATGAAGTGGAGGACTAGAACACCTCCTAAGAAAGAAGAAATATGTTTTAAAAAAGAGACAGAGAGACAGTGAGAGAGAGAGAGGAACACAGAATAAGTATAAAAGAAATCCAGCTTGAGGGGAGAGAAGGTCTGAGAAAAGATTTGAAAGCTAGAGAGAAGAACAGAGGGGCTCGTCAGGGCAGTGTGTCCTAGGCAGTGTGTTAGCTTACTTTATTAGCTGAGGTCTTGAAAGAGGGACCCAGGGGTGGAGGAGAAACATCTTAGGATGTGAGAAGACTATAAAGAGAGCAGGTGTCTCCCGGCACTTGCAGTAAGGGATAGCCCTGGAGGTCAGAGAAGAAAGACCAAGTAATCTGAGTATTGGACTGAGACTCAGAAGCAGCACTCCTTTAAGGAATCAAACTGCATCTATCAGGGTGTAAAACCCTCTACATTCATAGAGGAGTTTGTAGCTGCCCCTCTCTGGTAAAGCCTCTACTATCAAGAGAAAGACTAGGCTGAAGGGATAATGTCAAAGAAACTCATAATCCACAGCCAATCCCCTTGATTTTGGGCCATCAGAGCCTTCCTCTCCCACAGACTAATTCTCTCTTTGCAGCCCCTTTCTCTCCTCAGTTGAGCTGTTTGTGCTCCACCCAAAGACTCCTCACAGAAATGGCCAGTGGTGGCTGAAATCCAACCTGCACTCTGCTGGTGAAGCCATATGCTGCACAGAAGCTGATGCATTTCTAGTTCAATGGTACCATTAAAGCTAGCAGAGAGAACTGGAAATGGTAGAATTCAGCAGGGCAAAAGGAAGTTTGTTTCCCAGGGGGTGAGGTGTCTTCCGAGCCTGAAACAAAGCCCTCTGCTACTTAGATGTGGCCGAGAGCCTTGGGTCACAGAAGCCAAGTGGAGAGGAATCCCCTTGCAAGATAAACCACCCAACTTTTTTCTTATGTGGAAATCTACCCACATAAGATTGAGTGGGTGGGTTGGGAAACCAGAAAGGAAATCTACTTGGGCTGTTTTGAACCAGATGCTCTCTCCATGGCCCAGAGAAGTTTCAGAATTTCCACTCTCCAGAGCTTAAAGTCCTCCCTCTTAGGAACCCAAAAATCTTACCTGAGAGGCCAAGTCCAGTACAAAAGGCTGAGGAAAAAAGAGAGAAGTGAATGAGATCATGTAGTCAATTTCCAAGGCTTTGTTCAAAAATGCAACTCTCTAGAAAGCCTTTGCCAAACTTTGTGGGACAGTTAGAGTGGTAAATACACAGCCTCCAAAGTTAGTCCTTCTTGGGACCTTTTCTTCCTGGAATGACCAGTCTCAAAGGACACATGGGCACTGACTAGGAACCACAAAACCAGTTCTACCATAGCTAACTGACCCATCATGTTCCCTTTACATCTGATGTTGGCTTTACCCCAGGCATGGATGGATTTGGTTTTCTATTCTAGTCAATTAGACTGATTGGTGATTACCACCTAAAGTAAAAGTGTGGTGATGCAGCATCTGGGCTCAAAAGGAAAGCATGCTAGAGGCCTCTGGGCAGACACACTGGTTGGGGAAGATAAAAATGTCATAGGAAGCAGCACAGAGCATAGGGGAAAATGGCAGGATATGTCTGTGTTCACTGACACTGCATTTAGACCAGGGTCAGCAAACTTCTTCTGTAAAGGGACAGATTGTAAATATTTTAGGCTTTGTGGGCCATATAGTCTGTTTTAACTACTTGACTCTGTCATTGTAGCATTAGCACAGCCATATATATATATAAATGAATGAGCATGGCCGTGTTCCAATAAACCTTTATTTATGGACAACGAAATTGACATATTTTCATGTGTCACAAAATATTATTCTTCTTTTGATTTTTTTCCACCATTTAAAAATGTAAAATCCATTCTTAGTTTGCAGGCTGTAGTTTGCTGAACCCTGATTGATAGGTCAGAAAGCAGTTCTACATTGAGTTCCGAACTTCCAGGTTTAAGCACCAGCACATCTTTGAACCACCAGAGTTTCTTCCTACAGGATATCTACATGATCAGACTCTTCTATTCATTAGGCTCCCTCCTAATGCTGTAGAGAGAGTCCTGAAACCTGTTGAGTGTCAGTGGCCTTTGAACTGCAGAACTCATCATTCCCAACCCCTGCCTGTCATCCCATCTTATAAGATCTTTCTGAAGGAGTTAATATCTTTGGACTTCCAGCCTAGAGCTTTTTAGGTAAATCTATGTATTTCACTGGCTTGTCCTGGAACATTTTCTTCCAAATACTTGCTTTCCAAATAATTTCTTAATAACCCCATGTCCTTAGTTTTCAGGATATGGCCACTCCCAGACTCAACGAGACCTTGTGTGCAATTGTCTAAAACTCAAAATTATATTATACATAACACCCTACATGTCTAATAAAGAACACAAAACATGTGTACATGCAAAGGAAACTGAATGTGATGAACCTGATATGTAGGTGTGAAAGTGACATAGCCCAAAAGTGACTTGAATACTCTGTAGCAGGGTGGATGACTATGGGTGTCACAGATAAGGAAAGCTTCATGAAGGAGATGTGACTGAAGGTAAGTCTGAGAAATTCAACAGCACCTTCATAATGGGTGGGACTATCTGTTAGGTGATATAAGGGGTATATAGATGTTTAAGCATGTGGCCAGCACCCTGCATAGAGCACACAAGTGTCCAACTGAGAAACCAGTGTGGGCTTCAGTGATGTACTGGATCAACAAGATAATTAAAATGGATGTGATTGATTAGGGAAGGGACCTAGCAGGCACTGTTATCTTGTGAAAACGTGCCTAACAAACATCTGAGGAACATACCATTATCTTTATTTCATAGATGAGAATGAGATTTCAGAGAGATACAGTAACTTTAAAATTCAGACAGCTAAGAAATCAAAGAGCAAGGATTGAAACTCAGATCTCTTTGATTCCAAAATCCCCATTTACTCTAAATTAATCTAAGCAATAAGAAACTGGGAAAAACTAGGGAAACATTATATGAAACACATTTGATAAATGAAACACAATATGATAAATGAAAGTTGTTTGTCCTGCAGTTCTACCTCCTTTTCTTGCTTTATCTGCTGCTAACCTTGGTCCATTTATTTGTCTTTTTATAAATAGTGCATTTAGGAAAATTTATGTACAAATTTGTTAGTGCAAATATAGGGAAATAGGAAATTTTCTGGTAATCAAGGTGGATTATAAATTGGGTATAAATTAAGTGGCTTTGGGGATTTAGGATAATTGCCAGGTATAGAGAAAGGAGGAGAGCAAGGAAGAGCCTTTCCTTGAATGATACCTAGATCTGCACCAGATGGGCAAGGAGCGGATTCCCCCAATCAAAGTTCCAGAGTATTCTGAAGCCTAGACCAAAAGGAGCAGAAATACTCACCAAGGATCAAGAAGAATAGCAAAGCCATGACCCAGGTAGCTGGAGATGGTGAGCTGAATTGTAAGGCTGGCAGGAAGCCCCAGAACAGCAATATTCAGCTTTGGTTGCAAGTGTGCTGGGAGGAGGGAAGGAGGAAGGTCCTGCCTGCAGCAGAGGCTTTATCAGATGACCAGAAACCAATGGGCTCAGGGGGCAGAACTGATAGAACTAGACTTGCTGAATTCAGCATGTCCCCAGAGGAAGGGAGGTGGCCAGAACTGGCAGAAAGATGCTGAAAACCAAAGAAAACAAACAAAATATTCCCAAGCTGTTATGATTTGGTTCAGCTGTAATCCCAGCTCCATCAGTCTCTGCTTCAGTCCCTTCACTATGTAAACAGGGGAAACAACTCCCACAAGGAAAGGCAAGTACCAAGAATGGGGTCACTTCACATTAGAATATCAAGTAATGCTTGTCCCCCATGTATGGTGTGTGGGGGGCAATAGGTCAATTTCAATTCTCTCCTTCCAGGTGGAAGTGACTAGAAAATATAGAAGCCAGATATCACAGAACAACTCCAGAGTTGCCCTTGTGGGCACCATGATCCAGAGTCAAGATGGTAATCCAGAGTCAAGGTGTCAGTCTCTGCAAATAGGGCTGGATTTATTTCCTTCAAACCAGCTTTTCCAGTGCTAAGCAGGGGGCCTAGGACTTGGATCTGCTTTTCTTCTATGCTTGTCCTCATTTATGCCCATCTTTGGAAGTTGAAGGGAAACAGGTCCTTATGGTAATGAAATCAAGTCGTTCTTAAGTCTAAGATATGGTGGGCAGGGATTGAGTAGCAAGACCCTCAGTATTCCCAGGTCCCCCTGCCTTGCTATTAAGTATAGCTTTTTTGTTTTTGTTTTTGTTTTTGTTTTTGTGGTATGCGGGCCTCTCACTGTTGTGGCCTCTCCCGTTGCGGAGCACAGGCTCCGGACGCGCAGGCTCAGCGGCCGTGGCTCACGGGCCTAGCCGCTCCACAGCATGTGGGATCTTCCCGGACCGGGGCACGAACCCGTGTCCCCCGCATCAGCAGGCGGACTCTCAGCCACTGCCTCTCAGCCACTGCGTCCCCAGGGAAGCCCTTAAGTATAGCTTTGCTTCAAGAGCTACTCAACTCTAGACTATTCAAGAACTCAACTACATATGCTAACATCACTCCCTACTATTTCAAACAGGGTAATTTTGTCTCTCTAATGAAACATCTTAGCTTCTTTGTAATATTCGGATCACTCTATACAAAGATTAGTTCACTATAGGTATTTATTTTTAATCCTGTTTTTCTTCCTATAATTTCCATATTATTATATTCAGTAGAAAGTTTTTAGCTGCCATGTGTGTTAGGTGAATGCAATGGGTCAAGGGAGTACACTGATGAATAAGGGAGAGTTTGGTGCTGCAAAATGATATGGTCTAGTAATTGTAATAGCACGTAAAAACAGCTGTAAGAGAGGAAAGTATAAGAAACTTTGGGAACACAGTGGAGGAAATGGTCACCTTTACTTGGTGCAAATAATAGGCTTTAGAGAGATGATGACACTTGAACAGGAATTAAAGGATGAGTAGCATGGAGAATCAGAATGGGAAAAGACTTTGCTGTGCATAAGCAGACAAATGAAACAGTATTACCTATTTAAGCAATGACAGGTAGTTTGAAATGGCTGGTCACAGCCTGCTTGGTGGTCAGGTGTCAGGAGATATTGGTGTTGAAATGTGAAGACTATGTAATATGAAGGTATCAATAGGATCCAGATGATGGAGAGTCCATTATAAATGTCTTGTAAATGCTAATTACTCACATTCCACCCTCTGCAGATTCTGAAATGTTGCAGTAAGAGACACAGAATTCAGAAAAGGCTCAAAACATCAGCTTTACTTTGAGGAATCTAGATTAGTTTGCAACTGGGATCCAAGATCCTATGTTTTTACCTTCCGCCTTCAGAAGTCAGACCTGCCCTACTGAGTTTACCCGTGGAGGAGAAAAGACTTCATGTGGCCTGTGGGCAGACAAATCCACCGGAGAGCTCAGGGTTCAAGATTGAGATATATTTCTCCACATATAATGTAGAAGATTAAGTGAAAGAAAAGGAGAGAAAAAAATAAAGACAAAAGCTTTCTCCCAACTATAGTATTTTATTAACAGAGTCAAGAACATGAAGAAAGGAAAAGGAAGCTTTTTCAATCAGAAAGAGCATTATGCTAAGGGAACAAAAAACTATTGAAGGATGGTATGCATTTTAGAGCATGCATTCTGACTGCAGCTTGAAGGAGGAATTGGAATGGGGGAAGTCTGGAGTCAGGGAGATTCATGAAGAGACCACTGCACCAGTCCAGAGAGCAAAAGAGAGTCTAAACTGCCAGGGTGCCAAAGGGTGTCCAGGGGAGGGGATGGATATGAGAGAGAGTTAATTGTAGAACCTGTAAGAAGACTTTGCTCTTTGGATGTGACCATAAGGAGTAAGTAGTCATTTAAGATGATTCCCAGATTTCTGGAAGGAAAAAATGTGACAGAAGGAGAAAATAAAAATAAATGTCAGCTACGGTAGGTAGAAAGTAGGGCACTACACCTCATAGTGTTTTGGGGGTGAAATGGAAGATAAGTTGCTTAATAGGAGCCAGGGAGTCTGGATTGGAGAGGAAGCTTCTGAAAAATGGTAAGGGTCTGAAATAATCACTGAGGGGGAAGGAGACCCTGGATAAAGACAAGCACTGGATTGAAAACCTGCATTTGCTAAGCAGCACCAATGTGCCCTGTCAAGCTACAATCAAGAGGTCAGTGTGAGATTATCAGCCTGACCAATTCAAAGTTGGAGCCTTGTAAGAAAAGTATGTTGGGAGCCTGACAGAGTCAGGGAGTTTGAGATGAGAAAGCAACTCAAGTGGCTGACAAGACTTAGAGATCAGGAAATGGGTTGATAAAAAGTGAAAACAGAAATAAGTGGTAGGAAAGAGGATCTTACTGAGGAAGGGCTGGGGAAAAGGAAAGTGCTAGAAAGTTCAAGTGATGGAAAGTTGTTCAGAGATTTCGAGAGGAGTGGTTAGGGTTTTAGAGGAGAAGCAGTTCTGGGCAATGACAAGTCCCAAGTCAGGGAACTGAAAGAGAATGAAGGTAGAAGTTTCAGAAGCTGAGAAGTTTAGGGAATTGAGAAGGGGTTATCAGTAGGAGGCTTATCCAGGTGAAGAAGATGGGGTGGGATGCAGGGAGTGGTAAGCCCAAAGCAGTGTGGAAGTAGATAATTGTCCGGAGAACATCAGTATATAACACACATAAGAGCATAGAAGACCCTCTCTGGGATACTGTAATGAAGGATGAGCTACATGCTCTGCTGGTTTAGCATCAAGGTGAAATCCCTCTGACAAATAACTGAATATGTCAATTATTAGTGGTCTCTGTGAGAATAGGAAACCATCTGAGTTGTTCCCCTTGCATTCCCAGTGTTTGACATGGAATAAATGATTGTTGACTCTGTGAATGAATAAATGATTATATTATCAGGCAAAGAATATCATTGAGCAGTTAGAACCATAAGAAACATCGTCTCGGGACTTCTCTGGTGGCTCAGTGGTTAAGAATCCTCCTGCCAATGCAGGGGACATGGGTTCTATCCCTGGTCTGGGAAGATCCCACATGCCGTGGAGCAACTAAGCCCATGTGCCACAACTACTGAGCCTGCACTCTAGAGCCCATGAGCCACAACTACTGAGTCCACGCACCACACCTATTGAAGCACACATGCCTAGAGCCCGTGCTCCGCAACAAGAGAAGCCACCGCAAGGAGAAGCCAGTGCACCACAACAAAGAGTAGCCCCTGCTTGCCACAACTAGAGAAAGTCCACACACAACAACGAAGACCCAATGCAGCCCAAAAAATAATTAATTAATTAATTAATTTAAAGAGAAAGAAACATCGTCTCTTGTCCATCATGTCCATATTGTCTTGTATGGGCTGGGGGATAGAGACTTTAGAGTCCCTAAGAGAAAAAAATGGCATGAAATAAGTACTCTGTCTATCTGGGGTGTGCATAATCAAAGGATGATCTGAAGAGCTAATAGGATACTAAGTCAATCAGGTGTCTACCACCATAATAATGGGATAGATCTTTTCCAGGAAGACCCATTTCAGTCACTCTTGGTGGGACAAGGTTTTTAATGTGCACCTATCTCACGCAGGATTGGCTTTAGAACTGGGTGGGGCTGAACTCACAGGTGAGAGTCACTGGCGTGTGCTTCCTGGGTGGGAGAAGGTAAAGACTGACATCCTGAGATGGTTGTCAGAATGACTGGGGCTCGCGGGCTGCCTTTCTATAATAATTGATCTGAAATTAGGCTTCTGGTCGGTGTGGCTGTCCTTTCCTGTGTACATCTGTAAACCCCTGTAAATAGCACCACTGATTCCCTTCTGTTGCTCTCATTTGTTTATCTGCCTCCCTCTCCCATCGCGACCAGGATGGAGGAGGAGCTCAAAATAAGGAATAGATCCAGGACTTGGGATTGAGGGAGCATGAGCACAGCCTTCAGGTATTTAGAAGAAAATTTCTTTGTGGTATTCCTGAGGAGATAACAAGACTTACATATGGACACTTCTGGAAAACATTTATTTTCAACTCATCATGAGAAAAATCTGAAGACAAAATAGATTGTCCCAGAGGACGTGATCTATAACTGCAGATGTTCATTCATATGGCCTGTTAATAGATTCCATTATTTATGGTTGGGTGATTATTATTAATTATTTTGTTGTCACCAAGTCTCAAAATTGCAAAAATATTCTAAACATGGTCATGAAAAAGATCCTAAATCCTTATTAAAATACCAGCATCACCTCTGTTGGGCTGAGGGTCCTTGTTCATGCTGAAGGACAGGCAGGACACCTGGGCTGTGGCCTCTCTCAGGATATGATAAAGGCTTTATGGCCTCTCACTCTTCAGGTACCAGAAGCAAGAAATCTGAGAGAGAGGAGAACGGGTGATGGCAGCCATAAGAGTAGAGTATGCAGGGAGGAAACCCTGTAAACCTGGCTGTCCTGTGTGTATCCTTCCTGGCTGTCCACTTCCTGCTGGCAGAAAACTGGCCCTAGCTGTT